GTGGTTTTGAAAGAACAAGTTGGTAGTTAAATGTGGGTAATTTTTGGTGGGTAAATATGTGGTTTTGAAAGAACAAGTTGGTAGTTAAATGTGTATATCAATGTTAATATCAAAAATATATATATATATATATATATATATATATATGTATTTTGAAAATGTTTGTTGATTAAATATGCATTATGGATGAAAAGGTTTGATTGTTAAATTTGTAGGTTTGTTGGTTAAATAGATAGATTTAAGAAAATGAAAGAGATTTGGTGATTAAAATAATAATAAAAAAATGTAAATCCAAATCCTACAAACCAAACAGAGGAATRGATTTCAAATCAAATCCAAATCCTGCAAACCAAACACAGGAATGGATTTTAAATCCAATCCAATTCAAATCCCATGAAATCCAAATCCCTTCAGGAATCCAAATCCCTCAGAAACATTCCTGCAAACCAAACGCACCCTAAATGTTATCTTTAATTACATTTTAAAAAAATCAATTTCTTCTTTAAAAAATATATTTTATATTTTATTTCATCCATATTTTAGCTGAACATTTGTATATAATTATATATATTATAATAAAATAAAATAAAAAAACAAATAATATTAAATTTGATCAAGAACAAATTCTTAAAAATCCCAAAACTATAAAATTTTATAGATTAGTTACAACAACTTTTAAATGAAACCCTAATGTTCAATCAATTCATGCATCTATCCAAATTTATAAAAAAAAATCAAAAATCATAATATAACGTTTAACGCTCGCGTCTCAAAACCAACCATGGTCTTGAACATTTAGTGAAGATAAAAAACTCGAAAGTGGTTGGTCGGTTATCATCGACCTAACCATCTGTCGCAACTTAGCCACTTCATCCTTCATAAGAAAGAGCTCGGATTTGGTTGAAGCAACTCCGTCGGTGTTTCCCGGAGCTCTTATCAACATATTTTCTTTCGTCTTTCGTCTTGCTTACCTCAACTTATTGGAAGTTTCAGACTCACATCTTTACTCTTGTTGTGCTGCTGTAACAACTGCATAAAGCTATCAGTCAACTTCAATTAAGCACTAACTACTAGATTTGAAACTAGTTATTAAGATTCACATGTAGCTAGGAATGGTAGATGAATACATAAACATGGGACATAAAGAGATCCCAACAAACTTTGCACTTAGGGGTCGTTTACCAAACGCTTACCCGAATAAACATTAACTATGACAAGGACCAAGAATCTTAACCGTTAAGAGTGAAAGTGAGAACCGAGAGTCTTACCAGGTAAGTGAAGGTGACGGCTCTTACCTGATTAGCGCTTACGGGGTAGATTTTTACATACAATGTCGTTTTGATGGACTAAAGTCTTGTTAGATAAGGTAAGTGATAGTGTTGAATTTGGCTGGTAAGCGCTTACCGTGTAAGTGTTTAGGTAAAAGGCCCCTTAGTATCATCGTTGTGTGATCAAGTTCAGAAAACAAAACCGTTTTCTTATAATCTATCCTTGTGAAAAAGAGTTGGCAGAAATAATTTTCACCTTCAAATGTGGTTAATATCGAAATGGAAGTGAAAAAACTTCAAGAATTATAAACCTTACACAAAACATGATCAGCAGCACCACAAAGCAAAAGCCTTTGTATATCATCGTCATCGTCATCGTCATGAAGTGATTAAGAATATGATCTTCAGCTAAATCTATTTAATGAGTGTTAATTATGAAGTGAAGTCAATAGTTTTTATGCCACCACAGACGCTCCTGCTTCTATCGCCATTGGATATGAACTCCATTCCCCCCCCCCCCCTTCTACATATATATATATATATAGACACAAAAAAAATGAAAAACTGAGGAACACCTGGTAATCGTTCATGGGCATATATCAACACTAGATGAAAGGTAGCTTTGTGATTCTCTGGTAATTTCATTCAAGTTTCAAGGAAACTGATGGTTTTATGTGTAAAAGTATTCATTGTTTATGCAAGGAAAGTTCCATTGTTTGGGTCCCACTTTCATTTCATCTGAAAGATATAAGCAAAATCTACTAGAGGTTAGGAGGAAGCTTACAAGAAAGTTACCAGAAGATTCTTTGAGTTGTGTTTTGTAAACCCATTTAGTTATATATATGTATGTATGTATGTATGTATGTATGTATGTATATCTAAAAACATCACCATCTGGGCCATGTCTCAAAGACTATTACTGGTCTAAATATTGTTGACTTTTATTTCTGCATTTTTTATAGTAATTTCTAGCTTCTTCGCTTTGCTTTTTTTCCTGGTGATGATGTTTCTCTTTTCTTCTCTAAAATTAGCTTATTCATTCCTACCCTTTTTTGATGAATTTGTGTGCCTAGTGATGTTAATTATGCTGTGTAAATGAATGTTACCAAACTTGCTGATATCCGAACTCAAATTCGAACCAGCAGATGTTGGAAATTGTTAGAATGATATTAGGATATGACCATGAAACCCGTTCTTTGAACAGATAAAAAACGAATTAGCTGAATCGAGATAATTTACCTTAATCAAAGTCAGAATCAGTCAGTAATTTGAGTTAACAGGTTTTTCTGCCACATGAGTTCTAGAGCAAGTGTTGGTCTATTGGAGACCCCCCTTACTGTGTGAACAAGATCACCACACCACACCACACCACACCACACCACACCACACCAGCCTCAGAAGTCAAGAACTACTGGGGTTGAAATTTCTCAGGAACATATGCCTGAAATAACTTAGAAGACAACCGGAAGAACCTTACTGGAATATTGGATTACTGACTTTCTGGGAAAGCTTATTACATAAGCCCCTTTCAAGATTTTCCCAAACGCACCTAGAAACTGTAATATTGGAATCTCATCTCTTCATCCAAAACCTTCCCTCCAGGAAACAACAGATACCAACTTTCTTTCTCTCTTAATTGAATTAAGAATCTGGTAGGAAGATGATGTCCATTGGTAAGTCTTAATCACTTCAGTCATCAATTAAAGCTCTGATCTTGTGTTATAAGTACCATTTATACTAGATTCTATTCTTTGACAGATTCTGGTAACCATGTTAAATTTAGGCTTGTTTTTGTCTGTTTTATCTCGATTGTTTTAAATCTATTCGTTCACAAATAGTATTCAGAAAGGTATTTTGTTTTTCTGGTTTTAATTTGGGTGACTAAGGGGCTGTTGGTTGGTTTTCCATTAAGTCTCGTACAGATTGGGAAGGTTTTTTTTTTTTGGGATGGTTTTTTCATAGATGGAAGAAGCGTGGAACTTGGCTTTCTGCATTAAGCCACTTTTGATATCATTAACTTATCTACTAAACATAGCAAGGTCTTATTCCAACTTGCAGCTGACATCTTGTTTGTTTGAACTTCTTTCCAGTTGCAGGTTTGATTACGCTTGCAGATAACAGAAAGTTAGTCGAGGTCGTACCAGATGACATTAAGAATATGTGGAACGAATGGGGACCGCGTGGACTGATTTTGATCAGCCTTGCTTCACAGATCATCTTAAGTCAACTAGGCCTCGTTCGGAAACACAGTCCAAGAACTCGAATCCGAATGGCTCTCTGGTGTGCCTACTTATTGGCAAACTTCATCGCATCAGCAGCTCTTGGTGTTATTACTCGAAGCGCCTTAGACGTGTGCAACGCCTCTCTTCCCAATTCACAAGATCACAAACCAAACACAAATGAGCTCATCTCTTTTTGGGCACCGTTTCTCCTAATTCACCTTGGTGGTCCAGATACGATTACGGCCTTCGCATTGGAAGATAATGAACTTTGGTTAAGACACTTTGTCGAGCTACTGTTTCAATCAGGAGTAGCTCTCTATATCCTCTTGTTGTCCTGGCCAGGTTGTTCTGATCTTCCGCTACTAAGCATATTGGTTTATGTAGTCGGTTTCATCAAGTGTTTCGAACGTGTTCAAGCTCTACGGTTAGCAAACACTGAGAATCTCCGAGACTCGATGCTTGGTCCTGCTGACCCAGGTCCCAATTATCCCAAATTCCTCGAGAGGATCCACTTGAAAAAGTCTCAGGGGTTCCATGTGAACGTTGAGGAGGTCCCCGAGCCCCCTCTTCAAGCAAACGATCATCAATATCCTCGAGGGCGTGGGGAGGTATCTGCAGCCTACATTCTATTCCAAACATTCAAACGGCTTTTTGTCGACCTCATCCTCACGTTTGAAGATCGAGATAATAGCCAATCCTACTTCCTCCATCTTCAACCAGATGAAGCGTTCCATGCGGTTGAGATTGAACTCGGATTTGCATATGACATGCTTTACACCAAGGCTACCGTGGTGTATACATTTAGTGGGCTCGTGCTTCGCTTTATTAGCGTCTTTCTCGTTCTTATGCTACCAGTCAGCTTCTTCTTTATGTGTGGTAGGGCCAAATACCAAGTCATCGACGTTGTCATTACTTACCTGTTGATCGGTACATTGATTTTCATGGAAATTTTTGCATTTATTACCATGCTCCGCTCTGATTGGACCGATTATTGGTTAAGCCAACACGACCACACTCGAACCATCCTCGTATTCCCATTCTTGAAGCGACCAACCAAACAATGGTGGTCCAGGTCCATTGCACAGTTAGACCTACTAAGTGTAGCCCTCGAGGAGAAGCCTGCTAGTTTCTTGCAAACCCAGAAATTCTTTGGGGTAGATAAGGTTCGAGTAAAGCACCGTTACAAGACATATAGCAAAGTTTCGGACAAACTACAAGATTTAATTTACAGTCAGTTTCGTGACTCCATAGATGGCAACTCCGATCCCAAAACATTATGTACTCATAAAGGAAGTTTTTCTCTCCGAAAGAACGAGTGTGACGCCCTTTTATGGAGCATCAGTAAGGTGGAATTCGATCAGAGCATTCTCATATGGAACATCGCTACGGCTCTTTGCTATTACTCAGAGATGGAAGATACTGATGAAGTCGAAATTGATATCCACCGTGCGGAAAGCAAACACATATCCGACTATCTGTTGTATCTTCTCGTATCACACCCTGTTATGTTGCCAATAGGCATTGGCATGATCAGGTATCGTGACACATGTGCTGAAGCCATGCGTTTCTTCAAAGAAAAAGGTCCGATCACTGGAAAAACCGAGGCGAGTAGAAAGTTGCTTGAAGTTGATTGTTCTCAAGTGTCACCTAGTAAAGTGAAGGGGGATCGATGCAAATCTGCACTTTTTGAGGGTTGCATACTCGCGTCAACTTTGAAAAAGATGGAAAGGGAACGGATGTGGAAAGTCGTGAGTCAAGTATGGATCGAGATTCTAGCTTACGCAGCTACTCATTGCCGAGGATTTCACCATGAGCAGCAGCTTCGAAAAGGGGGGGAATTCTTGACTCATGTATGGCTTCTGATGGCACATTTGGGCATCACAGAGCAGTTTCAGGTATCTCAAGGCCATGCTAGAGCTAGGATCATTGTTTCATAACCATAACTGTCTGTTCATTGTTACTCTTGGGGTAGTAACTAACCCCTACACCCACATACCTTACTTCTTTCATTATTTGTTGTTCATTTTTGTAGATAAATCCATGTATCCAACACACATTCATAATTCTACACTTGTTTGCTCAAAAGTAACTTTTTGAGAAGCTGTGAACAGTGCTCACGCTCGCCCCCTTAAAAGCCTTGCACTAGCAAGCACATCCCCAGAAATTTGTTGCCACCAAAATGCATGTTTGGCACGACCGCGAAGGAATAAGCAGCACGTTCGCCACCATACCCAAATTTAGTAGATTATCTAGAAAAAACGATAGCATATTGAGGCACCCTTTAGCAATCTCCATCTTGACTCAAAATCCACTTCCAAATAACATAACCTAATCAAAGATCTTCCAAGAGCAAAGGTCCACAAAGCATAAACCATCATCACTAGCAAACGTATTGACTCTTCGATAAATAATCATCAAAATATTAGTATCCTCCACCATCACCCCTTGTGGGCTTGACGGATGTCGAGTCCGGCAAATAATAGAATTTATAAAAATAAGCCTATTATCTGTAAAACACAACTTGTGAAAGCAATAAGTAGGGTCGTCTCCTCAGGGACTCGTGTTAACCGTAAGTCCAAGACGTAAAAGTAATATGTATATATGTGGGGGGGGGGGGGGGGGGGTTGGAAGATTGATAAATAGCCTAAATATGCAAATTAAATTGAGAACTTTAAACGATAGTGAATAAATCCGAGTGATGAGTATAACTGGTTCTTTATCAAATCATGTATCATTGACTAGTATAAAAACATTTCTCAATGGATTTTAGACCGGTCGTGAGTGTTGACACATGCCAAACACTCCGCTTGTCTTTATAATTAAACTAGCACGAGGAGCTCGGTAGATTAGTTCCTAATTGATTAAGTTGATTCTAGTCACAGACGTAAAATTCAACCTACCAATTGCCTTAAGCAATAAACAAGCACCAATAGCTAGATTACACGGTCCTATAATGCAAATCAATGGACTTGGTTGTCTATCGATGCACTATTTGCTACCAAATGGAAATTAAGAACAATTACATATTCCTAATCACAACTAGCAATTCAAATTTAGGCTATAGGATTCAAGGGATCCTTCTCAAAACCAAAATCCCAAAAATGAAGACGGTTTTGAACAAGAATTGCATAAATAATTTTCAATTAAGTTTCAATGTTAAACAAGTCTCAACAAAATTTAAAACAAATTAGCTATAATCCCATCACTAGAAACATAAACTTAGAAACAGAAACTTAGCAACTCATAATTCTATTTTGAAACAGAAATTGAACTTACAGATGGTAGAAAGCAGTAAAGTATGAAGAACCCTAGTTGAGAAATCCAAATTTCACTCCAAAATCTGGAAACCGATTTCAGTTTCTTAGATTTCGGTCCTCTGATCAATATCTGCTTCTCTCTCGTTCGAACCTGGTTTTGCCCGGGTTCTGCCTTCTCTGCTGATCGACTTCTGTTTCCTCGTCTCGATCCACTCTTCTCGACTTCTGGTTCTGGCCCCCTCTACCGATCGACTTCTTCATCTATTTCTGCAATTCGATCAGCCCTCTGTTTCTGGTCCTTTTTTCCCTTGACAGCTCCCGTACTCCCCCTCTTCTCTCTCGATTTCCGGTTCTTGAAAAGTGTATATGACATAGCTGTTCTAACGAGTTGCAGGGACAATTTTCAAAATATTTATATAAAATAACTAATACGATATTTTTATTTAAAGATTATTTTAAAACATTTGTTAAAGCGTCCAAAAAAATTATGTAAAAACTTAAGTTTTATGAATTATTTCATTTATCAAATTTATGTAACTACTAACCCGTCAACCCATCTCAACCCGTAAAGGTTGAATTGGGTTGGGTTGGATTATACTTTTGAATGAGTCGGGTTTGGTTGGGTTGAAATTTATTTAAACCGCCATAATTAGGATGGGTTGTAAAAATATTGTAAACCGCTCAACCCAATCCGCGTGCGCTCCTACACATGAGACCAAAAAACAAATAATCAAAATTTCTCTTTTTTTTTCTTTTCCCAACTTAAATGGTCTCGTATAGTTAAATATCAACTTAAATTAAATTGGATATTTTTAAGCATCTATTTAGTCATTAATTACAAGGTAACTTTGACATAAAAATGTAGAAATTTGGTATTTATTAGGACTACTTCAAACCACAAACACCAAACCATATAAATGTTGCACATCTTACAAAACAATCTTAACCGTTCGTGCAGATTATAAATCAATGTCAATGATGTAGACTTTATTGGTTCTGAAATTTTCATGTCAACCTTATCTGCAACTAATTTGATAATTGTCTAAAAATTTCAAAATACACAAAATCAATCCCCGAGATTGGTTTGTAAGGCGTGCAACATTTACATTGTTTGTATTTGATTTGTCTCCTCTCCCACTCTCTCTCTCTCTCTCTCTCTCTCTCTCTCTCTATATATATATATATATATATAGACTTGGGATTATGTGAGACCAAGGGTTTTTCGTGAGACCTATAAGACCAATTCTCAACCATTGGATTGGATCTACAATCTGAACATTCATAAATGCCACGAGACTTCTCAATAATCATAAAATTGTCACCGTGCAACTCTAGACCATTAGATCATTAGCTTATAAAGTTGATCAATGAACATAAATTTGTCTAACGGGTCTCACAAAAAACCTTTGGTCTCACGTGAACCCAACTATATAT